GATATTGCAGATGCTTGTATTGACATTTGTAGGCTCAGTTTCAGGATTTTTATGCTAGCACTGATGCTATATTGTCAGTATAACACAGTACTTAATCATTATTATCATATGATCATTTACCATTCAATCCAGTATGTGAACACTTAACATCCATCCCAGTCTTTCCCATCCATCCATCACATTTCTCACTGTTAGCATACCAAGCCTGCCAAACACAACACGAACGCTTAATGCTACCCTTTAGCATCTGTGCAATAACCATAGGAGAGCCAGCACTCTGGCTGTTTGAGTGAGTCATCTGCTCAAGAAAAACAGCTGTTCTGTGTTCATGGTCATAGATAGTGGTGCTGCTGACTGCAAATATAATAGATATGCTGAGCCTCAGCCTCTGTTTGCTTGTATTGTGTAACCACTGAATCAGGAGATGACAGTGGGATAGTGGTCTAGAGTGGTGTGGTGTGTGCAGAGCACCTGGGTTTGCTTGGACTTTTCTGATGTTTGCTCTCAGACATTTGCTGTCAAATGGAGGAAGAATAAAAGAAAAGAGGTCACAAAATAATTTAAATTCAAATTTATTTTCACCGTGCATAAATCTGGTAGAACAACAGTCAATAGTGAGTGTTAAAACTTTATACAGTGACAGCCATCGCTGTGACTAATACACGGAAATGAGTCAGGGCTGCGAGATTTAACACGGTAGTTTTAAAATGCATTACACTGCCTCCCCCTTTTTACTTTGTTTCCTGTTGTTGCTGCCCATGGCATAACAAGCACTCATCCATGTTTTCCTCAGTGTTATTGAGTGTGGTTACTGAGGTGCTTCTGATTTTTCACATAACAGCTCAAAGTGTGGCCCCGAAGGAAACGATCGTGTCCACAGCCACAACTCAGAGTGAATGAATATGAATGATTATGATAGAATATGGAGAAGATCTGAGGGCTTAATTAAGGGCGAACATCCTGTCACATATGGAAATGCTTCTCAGTGGCTGCCCTGGTTTTAGTTTTCTGCTGCTTTGCTGCTGGTGGCTGAGTGTCCCAGATCTGTCCCGTTGGTCTCTCTCCAGCTCCCACAAACGGACACACATACTGTACCCTCACACACGGCACACATTCACTCACTGTCAAAACAGCAGTGTTTTCACCTTTTTCTACTTGTTCGACTCTGATCTAATTTGTCCTTGAGAAACCGAAGAAAAATGGAGGAAGAGGGGAAATGGGAAAACAATGAGGTTAGAAGTACTGATACGATAGATCAAACTATGTTGTGCTGTATTTGCTCTCAGATTTGAGTTCTTCTGGGGTTTTTTTTTCTCTCATTTTTATGATGGGGCAACCTATCATCATTTTGGATTCACCAAACCAGATTAGCAATTATCCAAGTTCACAGCAACCTACATATGAGAGCTGATACTTGGGGAACATGCACTGTCCTACTGCCTTTTTTCTAAACTGACATTTAGAAAAAAAGGGCCTGAAACCAAGCTGTGAGAGAGACTGCACTGACCTGTTTAAAATTGTGTGCATTTATTTATAAGTGTGCGTTGATTAATTAGTAGTAAACATGCTTATGTCTTGAAGTAAGATTAAAAAATGGTCTGTAAAGAATTTAGTGCACCATTGTTCTTGGATTTTGTCTTCATAT